TAAAAATCGAGTCTCTCTAACGCCACAGAGGCACCCTGTCTCTGATTGTGTTTGCACCAGTTTGCTAGCTGTCAGCGATCTGTTCTCAGATCATAAATTTGATGGTTTTTTTCCCCCTTGAATTGTTTCACACTAGAAGCCTAAAATGTTCTAGGCAGAAGAAACCTCGGTACAACCCCCACATTTTACAGATGGAGACATGAGCCCAGGGAGGGAAGGAACCTGCTAATTCTACTGCTGCAGGTAACAGGAGGTGGAGGAGAGAATGAGCCTCCCTAGACCTGATCCCTGTCTTTTTTCTTCCTCACTCCAGTCCCTGCTGTCAAAGTATTTCAGAACCAGAATGGTCTGCAGCCATCATCTCATCTAATATTTTCATTTGTGGATAGGAAAGGGATATCCAGAGAGGAAATGGCCTTGGACCCCAAATTGATATTGGGCAGGTGGTTGGACTCTTGTCTCCTGGCCTCCACTGACACTCTGTGGCCTGTGGGCCAGGTCAAGCCTGGAGACACTACCTCAACCCTCCCTCCCTTTTCTTCTGATCCTTACAATGAAATTATACCTAATTAAAACACACGCACACACACACACACACACACACACACAATCCATATTTCTACTTTCTCTTGAAAAAAAAAAAAACAATTGAAAATGTGGTTACCTTGGACCTACATTTCCTATGGCAACACTTGATCCATATTTCTACTTTCTCTTGAAAAAAAAAAAACAATTGAAAATGTGGTTACCTTGGACCTACATTTCCTATGGCAACACTTGGCTGCCAGTGAATATCTGCAACCACCTTTGACAGGACTGAGACTCTCTAGTTCTCTTTGTCCTCACTGCCCTCTCTCCAACTCAGCTCATTTCATTCTTTTTTCTGCTCGGCCCCGGGAGGCATATGAATTTGAAATCCCTGCCCAACACCATTCTCCTTGACTTACAGTGTAAAACCAAAGCATAACAAGTATGTCTTAGGCAATTTTGGCTACATGGTAATAGAACTGAAAGTATTCCAAAGATTTGACCAGGATAGGTCATGATTGATCTGAGGAGTAGGTGCCACACCATCTCCAGGCCACAATTTGAGCAACGTTTGGAGAGCTTTTCCATGGGCTGTCAACTGCCTGGAGTCCCTCCATTAGACACTCACCCATGTGGACTTTAAGTAGCACCCATCTTCAGGTAACTCATTTTAAAATGAGAAAAGTCTTAAAAGAAGATAAATTGAATCTTTCTTCAATGTAATATATTGGGGAGGGAGGCTGGAACAGGGGCACTGGTATCTAGTCACTGGTATGCCAGATGCTGTGAACCTTTAAGAAAGGTTCCTCAGCCTTAGCCTTATTTATATTTTGAACCACATAATTCTTTGTTGTGGGGTGGCTGTTCTGTGCATCACACAATGTTTAGCAGCATCCCTGTCCTCTACCCCCAAGATGCCAGTAGCACTCTCCCAGTTGTGAGAACCAGAAATGTCTCCAGACACTGCCAAATATCCCTGCAGGAAGAAAATTGCTGCCATTTGAGAACTATTGTCTTAAACTGACCATCTAGCCACCCTGAGCCTTACTTAATCTGTAAAGTAGGCTCTTATTCCTGTCCTTGTGGGATTGTTGGGAGGATGAAATGAGAAGATGGATGTACAAGGGCTGTGTAAATAACAGTGTGTCATGTCTGTAGTGTTTTACAACAGACTGTGAAGAGTCAAGACTGATTGATATTGGCCATGGCAAATAGGACAGGGGGAGCTGTAAGGAGAGACTGAATGATGAACCAATGAAGGATGGCATCAGAACAGGTTACTTGGGGTTAGGAAGCTGGGTGGTGTGTAGTTCTAATCTTTAATGCAGAGGAAATGAGGAAATCAACTTGGAGCAGTGGTCAGTCTTTTCCTTCTCATGCACATACCTGATATTGTAACTGTCAAATGCCCTGTGGCTCTTCATTGCCTGCCAGGAATTCAGTGGCTTCCAAATCCTGACCCTGGCCACCTCTAGGTTTCGTGGTCCCCACCCTCTCTTCCCACAGGCTCCAGGCTCCTCTCCTGCCTCCAGCCCTTGCTGTGCCACTCCCTTCCCTCCCTTTGCTGTATCCCCCAGCCCTCAACTGCTGTGGTAATTTCCTCTTCCTTCCCCGACCAGCTTTTCTGAAGCCTCATGGGATCCCCACAGACACACATACTGGTTACTTCCTTCTTTGCTCCTCCACTGTGTGTTTACATCTCTATTAGAGCACTTGTCATAGTCTGCTTTGGATGACAGTTGGCTGGGTTTGTCTGGCTTCCTCTTCTACGACATTCACCTTCCTTGAGGCAGGAACTGTGTCTGATTCCTTTCCATATCCACTAGCACCTGACCCCACTATCAGATACAGAGTAGTTTCCCACCGACATTTGAATTGAAGAGAATTTTGAAGAAAAATCAGACAAATAGTAGAAACTAAATGTAAGTTGACCTAGTTGCCCAAGCTTGAAATATGTAAGTTCCATGTTAATTTAATAATTGAATAACTATGTATTTAATAGGCCAAAGGGAGCTGTTGACCATACTTGAGCCGGGCAGTGACATAGAGCTATATTTTAGAAAGATCTTTCTGGCTATATAATTTATAATGTTCATAGAAAATGTATCTTTTTGACTGCTTCAAGTCCTCCCCCGCAAAGTAAGCAAAACAATTTTTACCTATTATAGGTGGGTGTTGAGGTTTTGCTAATTAATCCTTGTAAAGGGCTTTGAGATCTTCCTCTGAAAAGTAACAGAGAAGTGTGAAACCTTTAGTGACAGCCTAATTATTATTATTACCTGGCACAAAGCTCAGATAAATTAAAAGATTCCCCAGGTACCATTCAAAATAGTAAGAGACAAAAAATGCAAATGGAGAAATTATGAAATGGGATCATTGAACCACAAATTCAAAGTTGGCAGGGACCTTAGAAGGATCTTTCCTGATTCTGTCCTCTTATCTTCCCAAGCTGATGCTTACACTAACTTTATAATGTGCCTGCCCAGTGCTAACTGCTATTAGAGCCTAAGGGTTAAGAGCTTGGGTTTATGGTAGAGTTTCCTGTGTTTAAATTCCCAATATCTTCCTTGTTAGCAGTGGAAGCTTGGGGTAAATTTCTACACCTCAGTTTCTTTATCTATAAAACAGGCAGGAAGTTACCTACCACAGGGGTGCTGTACAAGTAAATGATGCATGGGCTGGCCCCATAGCTCACTCAGGAGAGTGTGGCGCTGGTAGTGCCGAGGCCGCGGGTTCAGATCCTATATAGGGATGGCCGGTGCGCTCACTGGCTGAGTATGGTGCGGACCACACCATGCCGAGGGTTGCTATCCTCTTACCGGTCAGAAAAAAAAAAAAAAAAAAAAAATGATGCATGTGCATTGCTTAGTATGGTACCTGGCACATGACAAACGGTGAATAAACATTGGCTTTAAAAATTACTTATGTTCATTGATTAATATACATGAAAATACATAGGAAGTCATAAATCATCTGACGTCCAAGTTCTTCCTGGTTTAGGGGATCCATTGAACATGGTCAGATATTTCTTGCAAATCCCAGCCCTTGTAGCTGTTATACAAGTGTTGTGTGATTATGCAGTCTTGGTAAGGGAAGTGAAGAGTCTCTGGATAAAATGGCCTATTCAAGTTGCAAAGCAAAAGTGGGTCCAAAATCTATTCTCTCTCTTTCCAATTAAGGAAAAGGTGAACTTTCCTTTTCTTGTCTTAGCTTCTAATAGGTAGGAGTCCTGGATAGGGCAGTGGGTCAGTTGGTAACGGCCAGAGCATTCAAGTTTGTAGATTGGAACGTTTATGTCTTAGTAGGTCTATGTCTTTATAATTTAATCCCTGGAGCCTTGTTTCATTTTTGTTTTTGTTTATCTATAAAACCGGATGCATGACCACTTCACAGGGTTGGTGTGAGGAGAGATGGAGACGACAGTATGAAGTTGCTTCATAAACTGTAGAGTGCTTTGTGGATGTTAGTGACTGCTGCTTTGCAACCCACAGTTTCCTTGAACATAGCTGTTCTCTCTACAGGTTATTTCAGTGAAATCCCTGGTCCAGGAGGGTCTGTGGAGTTCCAGCTCACACTAGACATGACCAGCATCCAGAGATAACTGAAAGAAGCCTGAATCCTCTCATTAGAATCCCTGCAAAATGACTCATGTAATTGCTCTGTGTAAGTATCCTTAGTCTTTATCGTACACCCACACAATTCTGATGCTATAGACCCCTGTGGAATGCAGGAGGCGAGGGGGCCCGTTCTAAATGCCTAGGATTCAAAAGAGACCACCAATTCCACTTGTAAAGGTAGACAGGGACTGCAAAATATCAAGTCTGGACACCTGCCAATCATTCTGGATCCTCCCGTTGTTTGTCTTTCAGTCATATCTGCCATTAGAGGGGGAAAAGCTTTTTTGCCTTTAAATTTCTTAGGAGGGATTTCTAGGGTCTTCCCCTCAGGAATTAGTTGTAGGAATAATTGGGCCAGTGGAGTGCAGGAGATATATCCAGCGCAGCCTGTGCACTCCTAGAAAAAGTGACCTAGATCAAGCAGCCGGTAGATCCAGGACTATTGTGGAGACCCCCTGCCACCTACTGACTTACAGCTGAACCCACATTTCCAGTAGCATCAGTGGCAGGGGGCTGGGGGCAGGAGGCAGACAGAACAGAGGAAGGGGGGAAGGGAGAAGAGGCCCACAGGGTTGCCCCTTACAGGACCAAGTGCCACTTATCACCCCTAACCACCCACACACACACCCACCCTTCAGCACACACAGAAAGGAGGATAAGGTGAGGATGGGGAGGCAGGGGGTGACAGGTAGGGGAGGTCAGCTGTGGAACTCTGAGCTGGATCGGTGGGTATTAGCATAGAGCTTGCTGCCTGTGTGAGTGTGAGGGGGAGAGGGAGAGAGCAAGGGAGGGAGCGAGAGGCAGGCTGCGAGAGGAGAGGGAGAGGGGGAGCAGGCGCTCCAGCGAGCATGAGGACGGGCTTCTCTTGCCCTGCTCAGTTAATTTGACTGTCAGTTGATGTTAACGCTGCAGTTTAAGTGCTTGGATTCCACGAGAAACAGACAAACCTCGCAGAAGGAAGGAGGGAAGCAAGGAAGGAAGGAAGGAACTGCGGGAGGAAAAGAACAGGCAGAACAGTGAGAGGAATAAAGGGAAGGGGGGGAACGCCAAATCTATGATTGGACCTGGGCTTCTTTTTCGCCAATGCAAAAAGGAATATGCAGCACATTTTTGCCTTCTTCTGCACCGGTTTCCTAGGCGCGGTAGTAGGTGCCAATTTCCCCAACAATATCCAGATCGGTGAGTGAGAGGGGCAGCCTGGGGAGGGACTTTCTGGGTCTGGCCAAGGTTGTTTTGGGGCGGGGGGTCTGTGCCCTCCCCCCGTAAGGGCTGCTGTGCTTGGCTCTCCTATCTAAAGCTGTGCTGCGGTGATGGGAGGAAGACTTGGGCTGCCAGCGAGGGGAGGGGGCTTCTCCTGATCGGATGAGGGGCCGAGGGGAAGTGTTTATAGTGTTTACACACACACACACACACACAGAGGTCCACACACGCCATTCACACTCCAGGCATGAGCATGTGAAATGGAGGAACCACCGCTTTGGAGGAAAAAAAAAATTAGGCTGTAGCATGGAAAAGGGTAGTGGGTGTTTGAGTTAACTCCATTGCTTGGTAGATGGTGCCTGATTTCATTGATTTATATAAATATGTATGATGTGTGTATTTATGTGTGTGATTATATAGTAAATATGCACATATATCTTTAATTGAAGAAGGCAGTGATGTCCTAGCCGGGGAAGGAAAAAGAGACCCTCTGGAAGATGGAGTGCAGGGTGCTGGGTTTATTGTAAGCACTGAAATAATGCCAGAAGGCCCCCACTCTGAGGTGAGGGTGCTCTCCCCTCTGCCCTGGACTCCTCTGGCATCCTTCTGTCTGCTGTCTGCCATGCTGGGCTACTGGTCCCTACTCCCCCAAGCCTGGAACTTCCTAGCCTGCTTTCTCTCTGTTTATTCAATTCCCCCTCCTCTTAAATTTTCTGTCCCCAGAGGCTGTCCACCTTTTACACACACACAAACACACATGTACACGTACACACTCTCCTTTCTCCTTCTGTGAGCTGCCCTCATCCCTGGGCCCCCTCCTCTCAACTTGGAGGCAGGTTTCAACATGCTGCATGCTTTTTTGTTCCCCATTTCCCTTTCTTAGTTGTCATGCTTCTAAAAGGCCTCCCCACCCTCTCCATGTTTACGGGGGAGCTGACAGATATTGCTACTCCTGATAATAACAGGGAAAAGCGAAACAAACAGGAGCAATAACACCAATAACAAAGCGTGTCCACAAGGGCTTAGGGCTTCAATGTGACCAGCATTTCAGTGCTGTTTGTGCCCTGGAATCAAGTGAGCTGCTTTGCTTGGAGGCATCTTGATTGGTTTGGTTTCTGTTTTCTCCCCCCAAGCTCCACTAGGGAAAGTTCCCATCACTGGTAGTTTGTGTTCTTCATGTGAGTGTGTGCTGGGGGGATGTGGTGTCGTTGGTATTTTGTCGGGCACACATGTGCTGCAGTACATGTCTCTTCCCCCCTCTCTAGCTAGCTGGCTCCAAGGGTGGTTGGAGTGGCCGTAGAGTAACTTGCTTTGTTTCCTGACACCTGTTAAGCTACATTCTGAAGTGTATATGTATAGATTGGTATTTTGTCGGGCACACATGTGCTGCAGTACATGTCTCTTCCCCCCTCTCTAGCTAGCTGGCTCCAAGGGTGGTTGGAGTGGCCATAGAGTAACTTGCTTTGTTTCCTGACACCTGTTAAGCTACATTCTGAAGTGTATATGTATAGGTGTGCTAGTGCCTTACACGCAAAACTTCCTGCCTTTAGGGAGACACATCCCTTTCAGCCCAGCCTGTAGCCTCCTACCTCCCCACCTCCCACCCTTTTCTTTCATTCATTGCAGAAGAGGAGGAGGGGGACAGAGAAGTGTTTGGGGTGTGGTCATGGGGGGGGAGGGTGGAGCCTCAGAATCAAGAATGATTTTTTGGTTCGTTTTTACTCTTTAAAATGGGGGCATGTAAGCATGTGGAAATCACTTGCTCTTATGTATGGCATTGTTTATAAACATATAAACAATATATTGTTAGCAGTACTTATATATTGCCCACACTTTGCTGTTTGGAAAAGCTTGTCCAGAGATATGTGGACTTGCTTTGTCCAAGTGTATTTGTGTATATTGCCACGGGTATAAATGCAGGGGGGTGTTTGTGTATGTATATATGGTATGTTTGCTCATGTATCTCCATAGATTTTTCATCATATTTAGCCCCAACTTGCTTGTTCACCTGAGAAAACCATTGCTGCTGTTTTCAAATAAAGGGTTGAAACATTAAATTGTAGAACAAATGCTAAAATATGATCGCCATCAGGTAGTATTTGATTCTACTTGTATTATTTCTAACAAAAGTCTTGCGATCCATTTATTGGTTCTTAAAAACAAACATATACCCACTGTATAAGAAGTTAGAAGTGCAATATGTTGGGACTGCAATTCCCATTGGATCTGAGATCAACATTTGTGTAAACATTTATTATAATGCAGTCTCTGGAAAGGGCTGATTTTAATTCATAGAAATGTACTTCAATTCGTTTGCATGCCCACAGTAAATACAAAGATAAGCCATGTACTCTTGTATCTTGGAACAGGAGCCCCAATGGCACTTTAACCATGCTTTTTTACTAAAATAGAATATTTATATTCTCTTGATATTCTTAAGAGACTACATCTTTGAAGCACAGCATTCTACCATGCTAACACATAACCCTTATGTAACAAGTCATTCCTAGGTAGCTGGGATCATGAGTAGTGAAAGAAGGAGAAAAATAACCCTTATGTAACAAGTCATTCCTAGGTAGCTGGGATCATGAGTAGTGAAAGAAGGAGAAAAACACCATTTGCAGGAAAGCAAGAGTTTTCAGAGGAAATGAATAACGAACCACAGAGGCAATAGGATAGTTAAATTGCATGCAGGCCTTGTCAGGCCAAAGACCGAAAGTGTCAAAGCAAATGGTTAAAGTGCTGGAGAATCCCACAGAGTCCCAGAGCTAAATTTCAATCACTCCGAGTATTAGTACCTACTTCCTGAAAGGCTCTGTGGTGAGAGAAGGGGCTGATACAAAACAAATTAGACACAGAGAGGGTTTATGTGTGTGCAAAAGTGTAGGCTTCCTAGGTGGTTTGCACAAGGGAGGAGGAAGAGAAATGCCACACGTCTCCTGTTTTCTCTGACTTTAGCTGAGTTGAGGAGTGTACAATCAAATTGTTTGAGCAAAGTGATAGATGTTAGAGGCCCTTGTCACATAAAAGCTCATCTGTAGATGTTTAAACCTCAGCCTCTAGTTGAGTCCATTTGAATTCTCATCCCCACCAGAAAAAGCCACAACTAGTAAGTGTGGTATGTGAAGAAGGAAAGGGCTCATCTGGGGTGGGCTGTTGAGGAACTGAAACTCATCTGCAGCCCAGATACCATGTTTCTTTTTCTTTCCTCTTAGGGGGATTATTTCCAAATCAGCGTGTGGTATGTGAAGAAGGAAAGGGCTCATCTGGGGTGGGCTGTTGAGGAACTGAAACTCGTCTGCAGCCCAGATACCATGTTTCTTTTTCTTTCCTCTTAGGGGGATTATTTCCAAATCAGCAGTCACAGGAACATGCTGCTTTTAGATTTGCTTTGTCACAACTCACAGAGCCCCCAAAGCTGCTCCCCCAGATTGATATTGTGAACATCAGCGACAGCTTTGAGATGACCTATAGATGTAAGTAATTGCTTCTATTTCTGAGATTTCTTTCTGTGCTAGACCAATGAAAGGAGGGCCTGTGGGTAGGTGATGGTGTTGCAAAAATGACTTGAGTTGTCATTTGTCTTCATAAGAGAAAGCCCTCCAAGAAAAAATTTCGAGTCTTTTGAGTGATTCCAGCAGTTGGTATTTTAGATCCTGCAATGTTTCATGGAATAGGTTTGCTTTCTCACTGTCAGCTAACTTTAAATGCCAGCAGGATGGGTGCTCGTGTTAACTGCGTCTCCCCTACCTCGCAGATGTTTTCTGGTTCAGCTGAGAGAGTTTCACACACAGGGCACACTTCCGAGAGACCTAGAAGTAAAGGCTCTGACTTTGTTATGAGAATGTGATTTAAAATACTGAAACAATTTCCTGTCCACAAGTTAAAAGGAGAAAATGTCTCTGTAGCTTGATAAAATTGTATATCCGGTTTTCCATTTTTGGAAGTGACCAATAATTACTAAAACTTGGTGCCTTGATTATTTCCAAAATGGCTTGGAGTGATTGTTTGCTAAAGACAAAGTTTGTAGAATGCCCTTTGAGCATAAAACAGAACAAAGGTGACCTCAAGAAGGAGAAGGTATAGATGTGTCTCTAGCACCTGAACTGAATACATTATAACATGTGGGCAACAAACACTGTTCTGAGTTTTTCTGGCAACTAGGATTGAAAAGGAAACCTGTGTGGTTGCATGACTGTCATATTATGACAGATGAACGCATAGGAGTTAATTACTAGAGACATTTTCTCTCCAGGGATTAAGTTCAAGCAGGAATTTGTGGTAAGGCAGTGTGAGGTGAATGAGCAAGAACAATTTGAGACTTGAAACTTTATTAAATTGGCACCATAGGCTTTGTGTGCTACTACTGACTTGGTGACTTTTGCTGAGCTGTGGATGGTTGAAGGCAGGGACTATATTTTCTTCTTCTCTTTCCAACATTCTTACATGGGCTCTCAATGATTTGAACTGAACATGCTTTGAAGTCTTAAAATGAGAATTCAGAATCTCCCTATCTCTAAGACCATCCATAAGATAATGTTGATATGAATTCCAAGAGTTATAATTATACCAGATTTCATTTTTGAGGACTTAACTGTGCATCAAGAACTGTGATAAGAACTTTATAAATATTTATAGTAACATTCTTTACCATTTATTGAGCATTGACTACAGCCCATGCAATACACTAATTGCTTTTTATGTGTTAGCTAATTTAATCCACACAAGAGCTTTAAGAGATGAAGAAACTGAGGCTGCAACAGGTTTTGTAACTTGCCCAAGTCACCCAGGAAGTAAATGGTGGTCTTGTGACTGCAAGGTCCATGTTCTTGGGCACTGTGATAGATACACTGATCCTTAAGGTGACTTGATCACCTATAGTGAAATTACCCAAGATTACCCAAGAAGCGAAAGGGGATTTTCAGGGTCTTGTAAGGCAGTGGCCTGATAAAGCACCTCAGAAGTAAAACTTACTGTGTTTCAAACTATTGCTGTGATTTTGCACAGGAGTGGCCCACTAAGTAAATTAAATAGCAATTCTGCATTTTGGTAATGCTGAGGTTGAGAATCTTGTCTACTGTGTTATTCAGCACGCTTAGAAAAGAGCAGAAGTTTAGTTGTTGGATTGCTATTCTATGAAACTATCTACCTAGGAAGCTAGAGTAATATTGAGCAGATACTTAGCTATCAGATATTTTTGATATAGCTTAGGGTAGGGCCTTTGAGGTGGGGATTTGAGTGTGGTCATCAATGTCTCTGTAAAGCACCTGATATTATGTGTAATCTTTTGAATGCATTGCATGTGCTAATTTATTTCCTGGGGAGAGGTTCCATAGCTTTTGTTACACTACATAGCTTTTGTCATACTCTCAAAGGGGTCCATTACTCAAGAAGGATTACTTGCTTAGAGAATCAAGAAGAATAAATAGCTGACATTTATTCACTCGTACTGCTGAGAAGAGTCTACAACAGCTTGGTGGAAAGAGATGTTAACTGCTCTCCTGGTGTCAAGATGTTGACTGGTAGGACAAGATAATAAAAGACAAAAATAGAGGAAAATGTTCTAAGGCAAAAGGTGGTGCTTTTATATTGTTATCTTAACAACCTAAGATTTGATCTCTAATAGGGTTGTTGGCTATTTATTAGGGACGCAGAAATATGGCACAGGCAATATTTTCCTTTGTGGTCAGTGGACCTGGAATGGATGGATCTGGCATCCTCCCATGTACTAGGTTACAGGTTTCCATGAATTTCTGCCTTGTTCATTTGGTTGTTCTTTAAATGTTTCTTCAAAGCTGTCAATTGAAATAGACATTGGAAACGCAGAGATTATAAAATGTCTTTGCTCTCAAATAGCTTACAGTCCAGAGGAGGACACAGTCATAGGGATTATCTGAGAAGCAATAGTGTTATTTTGTGCTTAGATCTTTAGTCTCTTCTCTTTTAGCTCCAAGAGCAGAGGGCATACTGGGCAATTTCAACAGAAATCATGGCATTGGAATTCCTGGCCTGCCTGGAGGAGTCTCTGTTAACTTTTATGTGAGGATGGGGAATCCTTGGGGCTATGTTCACTGTGGTGCATTGGTCTGGGAAAACTTTACATCTGTCCCAATTTGAACTGAGTAAAAGAATATCAAAGGCAGCAGAGCAGTTTGGGGCAGAATAGGTTAATTAATTATTCATGGAAAAACCAAGAAAAGCATTTTATTTAGATTTAATTTTGTGTGCTTTTTGAAATCTAAATTATTGGTTTCCTTAAATTAACTGCCCCAGTCAGTCTTACCTCCAGAAAATGATCAAGTATTTGTTTTTCATAATTTTTGGTGTCATTTGATCTTTTCCTGTGCATTTTGCTATTCATTATCCCTCCACCAGAGGGTAGAGTAAGGAAGGGAGAGGAAGTGTAACAGGAACTGTTTCTGCTACAGGTGTTAGCAACAGGGGCTTCAAAAGGAAGAGTGGTGGTTATAGGGTAGGGGAGGCAGGGGAAATGGAAGAGGAGTGTTACCAATACCACTGGCCAAGGCTACTGTTTGGCGTTTTCTTTGCATTCGATCTTTCTTGCTTTCCTTGTCTGCCATCATTAAGGGGTAAAGTCACTGAATCAGCAACCCAAATGCCAGGGGATCTCCTTTGAGCACTCTTCCAAGCCTGCATGACAAGGGTGGGGGAGGCTGTCCATAGAGAATGTATTTACTAACCAGCTATGGAGTCTATCCTGGTGTCTTTCTGGTAAGTGTAAAAAAAGGAAAGAATGAAATGCTGACTGGGGTGCCTATCAGAGGTCAGAGGAACGTTGTTGCAACTTATTTCTTATCTTTTCATTAATTTATTCAGCAAATATGTGCTGAGCGCTTACTTCATGCCAAGCACTGTCACTGTGCCCGATGCTAAGAACATAAGCGCCAACAAAGAAGACATGGACTTTTTCCTTGTGGGGCTTACAGTTTAGCCCAGAAGTCCTCAGACTTCAGTGCACTTAAAATTCACCCAGGAATTTTAGGTAAAGGAAGACTCAAGGGCAGATTCTCTACTTCCTCAATCAGAATATTCAAGAACAGGCCCTGGGGGGATTTGTAGTAATTAGTATGGGGATCACACTTTGAGAAACTCTTTAATCTAAATCTAAAAAGTCTTTCATTCCTTTAGCAAGCATTTTTGAGCCCTTACCAAACCCAGGCATGATGTTAAATACTAGAAACGCAGAGAAAAGTAAGGCACATTCCCTGCCGTGAAAGACTTTATCCCTAGTAAGGCAGACTGTCCCAAAACAAGAAAATTAAAATGTGATGTTGTAAGTGCTCTAGCAGCAATTTGTATGGAGTGTTAGAGATGCTTTGAGGAGTGAGGTTGGCCTCTCACCGGGTGGTGGTTGAACGAGTCTCAACATAAACAGAAGTTGTCCAGAAGGACAAGGTGAGGATAAGGTTTCCAGAAGGACAAGGGCTGGAAAGGGGAAGAGGTAAGTGCTTTCCAGGCAGAGGGAATGGCACATGCAAAGGCAAGGAGGACACGATACCTTGTTGTTCCCCCGCTCTGACCTCCAGTGGCACTCCACAATGGCTTCTCATTTGGCAGGTATCAAATGCTGCAGGAGGTATTACCAAATGGCCATCCACAAGCCAGTTTCAGCACAGAGATGGAGTTTGTGGGCCCACACACTCTTTAAGAGTCATGAAATTTCATGTCAAAATGTGGATAGCTTGTCTCTTAAAATTTTAAAAGATCTGGCAACACGGGACCCCCACGTCTATGAAGCCTCGGTTTGCCGGGATAGAACAGGGAGTGCCCCATCTAGACGACCTCCCTTCCCAACCAGCCTACTTTTTTCATTTTTTTTTTACCCGCCAGCTCCTGGAAGCATTGAGTTTGCAAGTCCTGATTGACTTGTCCTGCAATGTTTTGGTGGTGGAGTGAGAGGAAGGTATTGAGTGTGGGTAAAGATATAATATTCTCCTTCACCCCTTCTTCTCCCCTCGCCACTACTGCTTATGTTTGTTCAAGAGGCGGGGAGTTGAGAGTTTGTCTCCTGCACCCACACTATGCTCTCATCAATGGCAAGATCTCTACAGTTCTCTGGGTGATGTTACAATCTGATTTTGGCTCCTCCATCTTTACCTGTGCCCTCCCTTTAAGACCCACGGATGTCAACATTTGTCTGTAGTGAAGTATCACTTCTTATTGTAATATTGATGATCATCAGCTTTTCTGTACTGAAGAGTATTTGTAAACATTTCTTCTCTGACGAGTTTGAAGACCTCCGTTAGGATGAGTGAGATTACTGCTCTCCTCTCAGATACTCAGGATAAAATAGTCATATAGGACATTTGGAAAACTAAGATTCTTTTATTTGTTCATTCATTCATTCATTCAAAGCACTTTCACTGTTGCCCTCTATGGGGCATATATACCGTGAGCGCCCTCATTCATACCTTTGCAAGCAGAATTCATTGATTATAAAATTCTTTCCCATTGA